TGAGATCAATTATTCAGATTATATTACTAGATTTCATATTTTAATTTAGAAAAAGAACTTAATTTTAAAACTGGCAATATGAGAATAGCTATAGCTTCACATCCAGGGGAGAGAATCTCACCATCATCTAGCCTACAAATATCCTCTCAAACTAATCTTCCAGGTGTATAGTTTTTCAACTCTCAAAATTTCAGCCTGCTGGGAATGGTTCAGTGCTTATACCGGCAGGGATTTATAAAAGCTGAAAATCAATATATCTGATAAAACAATATTGCACATATTTTTCAGGCTGAGGGCCATGCTTGCTCTTTAAATAGTTCGACAGGGCTGAATTTGAAAAGTGAATGGAAGGAAGGGTCAGGGAAAAAGAATACTAGAATCTAATTTGATTTATATTTTAACAATTGCAATCATAGATATGGCAACTCTCCAGTCACGTGTTTAATAATTTCTATCATATTTCAAAGTATAATTTCATCATAAATAAAACCTTAGTAAGACCACACTGGGAATACAGCATCCAGTTTTGGTCATCCTATTACAAAAAAGATGGAAAAGAGCAAAGTAGTATGATTAAAGTCCTGGAGACTAAAACATATGAAGAATGGATTCACAAACTGGGTATGTCTAGTCGAGAAAGGACCAGAGGTCACATGTTAGCAGTATTCCAGTATTTCCAGTATTTGAGGGGCTATCACAAAGAGGGGGCCAACTTATTTTTTTCAAAGCACCAGAAGGCAAGACAAGAAATAATGGATGGAAACTAATCAAGGAGAAAAGCAACCTGGAATTAAAGAGAAACTTCCTAACAGTGAAAACAATTAATCAGTGGAACAGCTCTCCTTCAGAAGTTGACAGCATTGCATCACTGGAGGTTTTTAAGAAGAAACTGGTCAGCCATTTGTCTCAAATTGTACAGGGTCTCTTGCGTGAGCAGGTGGTTGGACTAGAAGACCTCAAAGGTTCCTTCCAGCCAGCAGTGGTATTCAGCAGGGTCTGACCAGTACTGGAGAACCAGAAGGGGAAATTTTGAGTAGTTCAGAGAACCGGCAAATACCACCTCTGACTGGCCCTGCCCCCATCTATTCTCTGCCTCCTGAGTCCCAGCTGATCGGCTGGGTCTTCTTTTGTTGCCCGCCCAGGAGAACAGAGCTGGAAATCAGGCTAGTGGGGTGGGGAGGGAAAGGGGATTTTGAGAATCCTTCCCCACCACACGCACCTAACCAGTAGTAAAAAAAAATTGGATCCCACCACTGCTTCCAGCTCTATTCAGTTTTGGGGGCCACACACAAATCCCCAGATTTGAGAGTAGGAGAAATTGATGGAAAGAAAACGTATTACCTTGCTTTGGGCAGCCTGAACAGAAGCAGCATCTCTGCCATGCTCCAGCAGTTCTTGCTCTAGCTCATCTTGTTCTTCTGTAGGATCAAAATTGTACATGGGCATGAGCTGGTGTCGTAACTTTTCCAGTCTACTGAGGAAATAAGAGAGAGAGAGAGAGAGAAAGAGAGAGAGAGAGTGAGTGAGTGTTCCACTACATGAAGCACCAAACCAAGAGAAAATTTAAACTTTCCAGGTTTTGCTCAGTAACTATTTTGGAACCAAATCTCCTGATTTGGTTCCAAAAATCACCCTATATTCGTGATGGCCAACCTATGGCACGCATGCCACAGGTGGCACGCAGACCCATTTGTGCCAACACATGAGCTGCAGGCAAACTTACCTCACTGCACATGTGCACGCTTCACACTTGACTTTTGGCTGGCTTGAGGCCTTTTTTGGCCTCCCAAAGGCTTGAGAAAGGCTTCTGCAGAATACAAGCTTTGTAGGCCGAAATCTAACCCCGTTTTGTCACTTCCTGTTTTTCCAAAATAAAAAAACTGGAAGTGACAAAACAGGGCTAGATTTCAGCCTTCAAAGCTTGTAGAAGTCTGCAGAAGCCTTCCTCAAGCCTTTGAGAGACCGAAAGAAGCCTCAAACCAGTCGAAAATCAGCCGTGAGGCACAGTGCAGGTAAGGGGACGGCGGGGTGGGGGGCTTGCATGTGCATGTGTAGGGGATGTGGGGGAGTGAGCATTGAGTTTTGGCACAGGAGCCCAAAAAGGTTAGCCACCACTGCCCTACATCAGCATATATCAATGCATCGTTACTTTTAAAGTTGGAAAGAGAAAAACAGTCTCTGCTCTTTCAAATATGAAGATTTTGGAGGAAGCTTTCTGAAAAACAAACACTAGCAAAAGTTAAAGAAACTGCTTAACTCATATTTACAGAACACTTACCGTTTCCTCTTCCGAATATACAAAACCTAGGGGAGAAAAAAATTAGAAAAACATTATTGTTGTAAGCAGTTTTTCAGTGGGAGCCTTTGCACTGAATAATTGTAATGTGTGCTTGAAAAGGAAGAAGTTGTGTAGTTAGTTGTTAAGGGGTTAGACCAGCTTTGGATCTCACGTGCCCTTAGCCATGGCAGCTCACAGCTTTGAGTCAATCATTGTCCAAAGAAAATATGTATAAAATGTTATATAGATGGCACTTACCCCCTTCGAGGTTAGCGAAAATGAACCCAAACTCTAGTCCAAAATGTTGGAAATGTAAAAACATAGAGGGAACCTACTTTCATATGTGGTGGACCTGTAAAGAAGCCCAGAAATACTGGCAAAAAATTAGAAAATGGCTGGAGGAGATAACCAAAGATCAAATTGAATACAAACCAGAGTTCTTCCTACTAGGGATCTCTGATAAACATTTTCCTAAAAAGACGAAATACATAATAATTCATATTCTAACTGCGGCCAGATTAGCATTTGCCCAATGCTGGAAATCATCCCGTTTACCTACAGATCAATTGGTCATTCAGAAAATATGTGACTGCGCAGAAATGGACAATTTAACCATAGCTCTTAAAAATAAAGAGTCTTCAGCATTTGATAATAATTGGAATGCATGGTATAATTGGTTTTATCAGAGATAAACTGTTTAATGAGCATAAATAAGCATAAATATCCATAAATAGCGATAAGATGTGTATATTTAAAGTAAGGTAGGAGAATTGGATCTTGTAGACTGTCAAAAAGAATATTTGTCTGGTTTTAACGTATTTTCTTTTTTCTTTCGTCTCTTTGTTTTTTTTTTTTTTTTCTCTCTCTTTTATACTTCTTCTTCTCCTTTTTCGGTCGCAAGACCGAGCGGTTTTTTTTCTTTTTTTTCCTCTCTCTTTCTCTTCTTTCTTTCTTCTTTTTCTCTCTCTGTTTCTTATGTAATGTTGTTATGTTATTTTTTTAATTGTAAATTCAATAAAATTTATATGAAAGAGTCAATCATTGTCTCTCAGCACAATCCACCTCAAAAGGTTGTGTGGGGAAAGTAAGAGGAAGAAGAGCTATGTATGTTGCCTTTTGCTCTTGAACAGAAAGAAAGAATATAAAAATAAGAAATAAATACATGTGCGCAAATCTATTAAAAAAGCAATAAGATTTGGGAAAACATATGAACTGATTTATTAGATTTATATCAGCCTTCCTGTACTACAGCAACTTTGCAAAGTAGGATGGACTGAGAAAGAATGACTGGCCAAAGTCACCCAGTGAGTTTCTGTGATGGACAAGGGACTAGTACTTGGACTTTACCCACATTTAATACATCTGGCTTGCTTTAAAGCAATTTGGAATATAAATATGTATAGTGGACTTGCATGCTGGGAAGAACGCTGCTGTCACCAAGTTCTTATTCTTAATGAGAGTGAAGGAACTATTTGAAATCTTAGGATAAGTGTATTCTACTGAATAACTAAAATCATTTAACATAATTTTACTGCCTTTTGGAATAGGCTTTCTCACAACAGTAACAAGATAAAATGATAACAACCTAAAACAACTGATGAAAACAGCTGTACTGAATCACTGGCACCTACAAATTAAGACTGTAATCACAGTCCAGCATATCCTTTCTTAAAATGGAGCCACCACAAGAAAGTCTCTGCCTCTTTTCACAGATTTTATTGACAAGGAAGTGAGTAGGAATCCCCAAGTCAATTCCAAGTAGGAGACCACAGATGAAAGCAAGTCTTTAAATGACCTGCACATCTGTTTACAGCTATATCTATTTATCTAAATCAGGGGTCCCCAACCCACAAGCCACAGCCCACTACTGGGCCATGAGCCATTCAGAATTGGGCCACAGAAGCAGCAGGCGAAAATGCGTGGGCGCGCATGCATCCCCACCTGCACAAGCTATGGACAAGTGTGTGCACAGGTGCTCCATTTGTGTCAGCAGCGTGCATGCCCACTGCTCCCCCAGCACTCTCGCTTGCCAGCCACTTTTTTTTTACCCTCTCCTCCCCCTGCCAGTCTAACAAAGCCAGAAAGTTTGGGGGAACTGATCTAAATCATGTAATAGTTTAACAATTATTGCAAAGTGACTACAATTCTTTGTTAAAGCAAGGACCAGATTCCTTTTGCAGGAATTTTTGGGCAGCCTTAAACTCAAGCGGTGAAGCTGAATTGGCATAAAATCTGGTGGTTACATTCCCAAACATAGCCCCAAGTCTTACCACTGCTACCGCCAACCCGATAACAGTAATGATGCCAAAGGACAACAGCATGGTCTCCATGACTGGGCCATTGCTGACCACATCTGGAATTTTGGTGCTGATAAAGCTGCTGGGTTCAGGTGTCATTGCAACAGTTTCTGATCCAGTCTCATCAACAGTTGTCCCATGGTCTGTCTCAGGCCTGGTGGTGCCACTGAGGTACAGATTGCTTACAGTGGGTGTTCTGTAATTCATCTTGAACCAGAGAGCTTTATTTCTTCTTGGTTTGTTTGTTTGTTCGTTTGAATGATGGTTTCAACCACAGCGTTCTTCTTTTTCAGTTATGAATTCATTGTTTCTCTTCTTCTCTCAAGATGGGAAAGGGTGTTTTTTTTCACTTATTACCTTTAATGGCTCTTCTGAAAGGAAGTTCTTGTTGACTAATGCCTAGGCATAGAAAGAGAGAGAGAAAAGGGATAATTTGCCTCCCAAATTATCTTGCACTGAACAGTAAACATTTCTGTATCGACACCACAAATGCAAACCTCAGGAGAGCATATCTATGCATGACCAAGATGAAAAGTCAGCTGGGGACTTCCTAGTTCATAACCTCAACCCTGACAATGTAATTCCATTTTTCTGTTCAAAAGTCCTGCTGCATTAATCTTTTCGATCATCTTTTCGTGGACTAATGGGTGCTCTTCTCTTTCCAAATAAATTAGGTTTGAGGGTCTAATTTAATGCCAGGATTTGCACTAATTCATGATCTTATGCTCAACCAATAAATACAGAATAGAAGACAGAATAACAGAGTTGGAAGAGACCTTGGAAGTCTTCTAGTCCAACCCCTTGCTCAGGTAGAAAACCCTATACCAGTGGTGGCTAACCTTTTTGAGCTCCTCTGCCAAAAATTGTGCACGCATTTGCACACTCGCGTGCCAGCACCTAGAAGGCAATGCGCGTCTCCCATGCCCCCTATGCGTGCGTGCGCAATTCGCACCCCACCCCGCTGCCCCCTTACCTGCACTGTGCCTCACAGCTGATTTTCGGCCTCCCAGAGGCTTGAAGAAGGGTTCTGCAGGCTTTGCAGGCTGAAAACTAGGCCCATTTCATCACTTCCAGTATTTCCGGAAAAACAGGAAGTAATGAAATGGGCCTAGTTTTCGGCCTGGAAAGCCTGCAGAAGCTTTCCTCAAGCCTCTGGGAGGCCGAAAAAGGCCTCAAACTGGCCAAAAATCAGCTATGAAGTGCACGCATGCGCAGTGAGGTATGTTTGCCTGCACCTCGCGTATCGGCACAAATAGTTCTGCATGCCACCTGTGGCACAAGTGCCATATGTTCGCCATCACAGCCCTATACCATTTCAAACAGTTGCCCAATCTCTTCTTAAAAACTTCTGGAGGCAAGTCGTTCCACTGAATAATTGTTCTCACTGTCAGGAAATTTCTCCTTAGTTCTAGGTTGCTTCTCTCCTTCATTAGTTTCCACCCATTGCTTCTTGTCCTGCCCTCAGGCACTTTGGAGAATAGCTTGACTCCCTCTTCTTTCTGGCAACCCCTTAGATATTGGGACACTGCTATGACATTCCCATGTTCCTACTTTATTATTAATTATATTTATATCTCATTCTTCCTCCAAGATGTTTAGGGGAACATAGCATCTGCACTCCTGAATTTTAATTTGACCTCCCTGTGAAGCAGGGCCTGCAAAAAGGAAAAAAACTGCTCTAAGGTCTGCTGGGATTGTTAATGACTGGAGATTCCAAGTTTCAAATGATCAAAGGGCTAAAAATCAGAGAAGAGACAGTAAAGAAATAAAGTGATATATTATTGATATACATCTTTTCTTCTGTAACCGAAAACAGATCAGTTTTTAGGAATAGTATACAGACTGTGAAAATGTCCTTGATGGATAGGAGGCAGAATGAGAACTAGGCAATAGATAGGCAACACATAAGAGGCAGATAAGCTCACAGAAGGAATGCGGATCTGATATCCCTTCTCAGAAGGGATTCTCCCCAGTTTCTTGGATGGTAAAAGCAAGAGGGAAGAGATGTATTTTCAAACTTGCAAGATTCTATTACTGTACCTTATAATAGGGGTAATGTTAATAGTCATAGTTGGTGCTTCTTGTCTGGTCTTAGGGCTGACATATGTAATATATTTCTTTGGGTTAGAATTAAAGGAAGCTTTAAAGATTTTAATATTTCCATTATGTCCTATGAGTGCGTTTACATTTATTCAAACCAAGCCAATCACTCACTGAAGAAATTATTTAACCTCTTAGGATTATCTGTATTTAAAAGGTTGCTAGAGTTTACAGGTTATGACCGGGTTACTGCAATAGTGTCATCTGTGTAGGCTGTGATTAGGGTCAGGGAAAGCGAAACAAAGGACATGTAACTGATTTATTACATTATTCTATTGCCCTATGTAGATTCTGTTTCCTATTTGTTGGATTTTTAATAGATTTTAATTTTATTTTTATCTATTAATATAGATAAGGATAACAGTCCAGAGACTCCAAATGACCACCAACACACCATCTGCTGCAGCCTTTCTTCCTTGGCAAATTTAAATGCTATTTTATTGTCAGGGTGATTAACTCTGTGCGTGTGTGTGTGTGTTTATTTATAGTTATATGTTATATATAGTTATATATAGTTATATGCACGTCTTGGCGTGTTCGGATCTTTTCCCATGGAAGATTGAGAGCATCTTGGCAACATTTCGACAAGGTCCTACTCGCCATCTTCAGGCTGGTGCTTTCAGCCTAGTGCTTGTGTGGCTTCGTGCTTGTGTTATAGTTACATCTGTGTGTCTGTGTGTGCATAGTTATAGCAATAGCACTTACATACCGCTTTACAGTGCTTTACAATTCTAAGAGTCAGCATATTGCCCTCAACAATTCGGGTCCCCATTTTACCCACCTCGGAAGGATGGAAGGCTCAGTCAACCTTGAGCCTGGTGGGATCTGAACTGGCAAATTGTAGGCAGCTGGCTGCAGAAGTAGCTTGCGGTACCGCACTCTAATCACTGCGCCACAGAGGCTCATAGTTACAGTTAGTTATAGTTATAGATAGATAGTATGTGTGTATGTGTGTGTGTGAGAGAGAGAGAGAGATTAAAATGTATGAATGTATTTTTCATGTAAATATATTTTTTAAAATAAGAAAATGGTACTTGTACAAAGGAGGCCTTTTTAAGGATCAAGACTTGCAAAAGCAAGTAGAACAAGGAAACATGCTGAGTGTGTTTCTTATGTGCACAATGCAAAGTTACTTTCCTTTATTTGCTCTATGAGGATCACCTGAAAAACAGTTATAAAACACAGGACGATGAGAAAGATGCAGTAAGGAGAAAGTAACTGTTAGTGATGCACTTTGTAACTTGATACATGGCTATCTTAAAGGTTGGCCCTTACAAACTTTACAGTTTGACTGATTATTTCTTTATTCAATTTTTATAGCCGCCCAGCCCAGTCAATGATTATGTGCCAGCAAGTCATTTTCTAGGAAGTTCTGTCCCCAACGAATTGTGTACCTACCCCTCACTGCCATAATTGAGTCTATCCATCTTGATATTGGCATCTTCTTTTTCTCCTAACTTTCACTTTTTCCAGCTTTATAGTCTTCTCAAGAACTAGGTTTTCGCATATTGTGTCCAAAATAGGATATTATATGAGTTTGGTCATTTGAGCCTTAAGCAAGAATTCTAGGTTGATTTATCCAGTGATCCCTTTGTTGTTGCTTTTCTTGGATGTCTATGGTATTCTCAAGAGTCCTCTCCAAACACCAAAGTTCAAAAACATTAACCCTATCCTTATTCTTCAAAGTCTAACATCCATAGACTCACAGGGAAAACCACTGCCTTCATAATTCTAATTTTTATGGGATAAACAACCTGACCTGGGATGCTCACATTGCAGCACTTGTCAGAAGGGCCCAGCAGAGATTATACTACCTGAGACTTCTCAGAAAACAACTGAATGAAAAACTGCTGGTGACCTTCTACCGCTGCACCATAGAGAGTATCTTAACTTATTGCATCTCCATATGGTTTGCTAATTGCACAGTGGCAGATAGGAAAGCACTCCAGAGGGTTAATGTCATTGTCCAAAAGATCATTGGTTGCCCTCTCCCCTCTTTGGAAGAGCTTTATAGCTCCCATTGCCTTAAGAAAGTTCAAAACATTCTCAAAGATCCATCTCATCCTGGGAACCCATTTTTTGAACTATTACCATCTGGCAGACGGTACAGAATAATAAAAACAAGGACAAATAGGCTGAAAAACAGCTTCTATCCCAGGGCAGTAACTCTGTTGAATTTTACTGTATAGTGCAATGTTGATGTGGTGTCGGGGGGCGGGGGGGTGTTTCAATTCAATGTGTGGAGTATGAAGGATGTGTGTTTGTGTTTATTTTCATGTTCATGATGTGCACTGAAGATGGTGTTTGATTTCTTTGTATGAGGTGCAATGACAATAAACTAAACTAACCTAAACACATCACAGCTTGAAATATCTTTTCCAAGGCTACCCTGTGATAATTTCTTGACTGCTTGATTGATTCAGTGTTATCTGTTGTTATTAGTTTTTATTTAATCATAGACCCAAGAGACAATCTGTTTTTACACTTTCTGCCTGCACTATGGTTAGTGGATTAATCTTGTGGATTAATTTCTCATGAGGACAATGAAATGTTCTGGAATTCCCTTTTTCCAAAAGACACTCTACAGTTTGGCATGACTGACACAACTGAGGGACTTTCTAGGAACACATGCTACCTTCCCTTTTGTATGTTTTCGTGCATCAGCACTAAGTTTCTTGTTCTTTAGCCTTTTCCAAAACCAGCATCTCCCTTTCCATATAAGATTCTAATGTTTACTGAATGATCTAAGCACTATTTTGCTAGCATGTGATGGTATTGTGGATGATATTGTAGCCTTGGTTACATTTTATATTTATTTCTTCATATTTATTATCTAAACATTTTCATTCCCGTGTTGTCACTGCAGCTGTCAACCATGTTGACATATTCACAGAACTTTGAACTACAATCGCAACATCTCTCCTCACAAAAGTCAGTGCTAGTTCAAACCTTTCAACCACTGTACAGTACAGATATGGTTAGAGTTTCTTAGCAATCACTTATAAGCATTGCCTTTGGTGTGCCTTTATTTAAGATCCACAAAACTAACTCAATTTAGGCAGTTTAATACTAGGAAAGTGGTAAACTCTAAAACAAAAGAGGTAATTTGGACCAATTTGTCTTAACTAGTTTTTCCCAACATGCAAATCCCGCTGTGGCTCAAACAAACATGCCAAGAGCTGATCATGACCAAGTTTATATCTTTCTTTCTCTTGCTAGTCAGATCAGTTTTGCTGCAGGCAGACTGGGTAAGAGTCATTTAAAAGAACAGTCCAGTCTAATCCCTAAAGTGCTGCTGAACACCAGGAGCCTTTGGCTGCTTAGTCAGGCCTCGCTCAGACTTTCCACCCAAGGAAAAAGAATTTTCCTTATTGTAATGCCTGCAGAGGGAAGTAGTCTTGACCTGAACCAAATCTAGCATCTCTCTTCTTTCCCAGGGCTGTGATTTGACAGGGCAGGAGGTAAAGAAAGAAACTTGGAGTCGACAGCTTGGGAGGAGGGGGAGGACAGCCCCAGAGCAGAATGCAGGGGATTGCCCTCCCTTTATTGCTCAAGGTGACAGCTTCTCCTGCTCCCTATGGCCTGCTCTGTTCCCACCCATGCCCTCAACTCCTTGCTGGCTTGCCTTGCCTATCCCCAGCTCAGCCAGGGACATCAGCACCTACTGAGATCATGCCTAGGCGAAGAGGAATTAAGCCCTATCCCTGTCTCAGGGGTTCACCTTAGATTGAGAAAATACCCTCAGGCCAAGATCGCTATCACACTGGGAAGAGAGGAACCCTTCTTCCCACAGTCCCCGGATTAATCCCTTCGTGGTTTTTGGAAGCTTCGGAAAGAGAGAGCCTGCCTGAGACTCACTCCCCGCCTATAACTTAAGAGGTGACACCGACTACTGAATCAAGCGAGGAGGATGGGTTGCGGAGATGCGTGTCCCGGAGAGTGGAAGACTCTGGCCGGCCCTCTTTCACTAAAGCAGGCTTTTAATGGCCGTCCGAAGGGACAGCAATAATCGGATTGTTTTGCTGGAGGCTGGGCTGCCTGGGGGTATCTACCGCTTTGCTGCAATTCGGATTACCTGCATCGGAGAGGAATGAATAGCTGCCGGGGTGCTGGCACGGCCTGACGGGCCATTGTGCTTTCCAAGATGCTACAAAGCAGCCTCACCCCGTTTCTGCCGCTGCCCCTCTTAATCTCCGGCTTTGATCTCTCCTTTCCCCGGGATTGGCTAACGCAGGACGGCGCTTTGGTTAAGGATTGGGCCGCTCGGCATGTCACTCAGAAAGAGGAGGATGGCTGCTGGCAAGTTCCGAAGCCCGGGAATGCAAAGTGAGATTTATGTGGTCCAGGTTGGTTTCTCAGCCGAAGGAGCGTCGCGGGGCTCGGACAGGGGAAAGTGGTACCTTGGGAGGTGCACGGCCTTATTTATTAGAGGTGCTTGTGGGTCACTTCCCGAGGATTCCCTTCTTGTGCCTCCTTTTTTGGAATGAGCCCACCATCCTTTATTTATTTATTTGTTAGAAGCTTGCAATACAACAGAAACACGAATAAACATAATTCTTTAAATACAAGAAATAGGAACTAATAATTGGGGAATATAGGATAGGGACGGTAGGCACGATTGTGCGCTTAAACACGCCCCCTACGAAAAGACGATGATTTTTACAACCTTTGGGAAATCGGGCATCTACATTATGTTCAAGGTGCGGGACATAGATGTACTTAATAAAATCGCTCGCGTAATGGACGTGAGAAATGCATTTCTGCTCCTTTACTCCACTCACCCATCCAATTTTTCGACTGGCAAATTACTTGATAAGAAACCATTACTTCGATGAAGTTCGGCACTATAATGAAAGTCATTAGGAAAGGGTTTAAGACAAGGTCGTCCTAGTCCACGGATAAGACTAAACAAGGTTTAAAACATGATATCTGATCAGGATTGAGTCTACTATGCACATTGCCAAGCCATGATTTTGTTCGTTTTATGTTTTGCTAAATAAGACGCCGGATCACATTTAGCGATAGCTAAACGATTTACTGGGGGAGGGGAGGATGGGTTTAGTCTGAATCCAGCCAAACAAATTACGGGATAATTTAGGGTGGGAATAAATATATGATTTAGACTTAAAGTAACTTTATTGTACAATTGAAATGTACGCTAATCGGTATACATTAAAATAATTTTAGGGCCATTTGTGTACTGTATTTCTGCCAAGAAAATCACCGATGAAGTCGACAAGGCTCGAGCTCGATTCAAAGGTGGTGTCCGTTTTTCGTAATCCTGAACTTCTTTAGCAGAATTACCTCCGGCTTCCACGCGGCGTCTCCCTTGCCTCATTCAACGCGCTCCGGAAAAAAAAAAGGCATTTTGGAAGGTGGAGCTTTGGCTCCCTAGGAACCTCGCTTCAATGGCGCTGTTGGCAGCCGAGCTGAAGCGTTTGCCGCTCGCACCGGAAGAGTTGTTCCCTCTCGAGCATCTGATCTCCACCATCCGACGCAGACTTGCAATTTTCCCTTTTTACAGGTAAAAGCTGAAAGTCTCTGTCGTGCCCATCCTCGTATCTGAAAGAACCCCCCCCTTTCGCTTTTGTATATAGTCCTTTTTTTAATTGCGCATCAAGGAAGGCGTCTGTGTTTGATTTCGCATACTTTGGTCAGTTGTATACTTGCAAATACTGTGCGAAGGCCAGCAATTTTTCAAAATGTGGATGAATTCTTAGTAAGGGTTCAAAAAGTTTATGACGAAAGATTAAGTGGATTCAGATTAAGGTTGTATAATTGTAGGTCCCGTTGTAATGTCTGTGGAGATTCTCAGTCATCCAGGTCATGGTTGTCCCAAAGGTGCTTTTTTCAAGAGCCAACGGGACTTTCTGGTTTTTTCTTTGAAGACGTTTAGTTTCTGAGAAGCTTCTTGAATGAGAAAGGAAAGGTCTTAAAAGAGAAACCAGAAAGACCAGTTGCTTCTTGAAAAAGCACCTTTGGGACCTCCCATTGTAATAAACAATTTATTTAACAGATTTTATAAGTTCCATGCAAATTAATGAGGAAAAAGGATAAGTAATTTTTTTTAATGGAATAAATGAACTGCCCTTTAAGAATGAGGAAAATACAAGGGAGAAGCTTCCTTTTTCGTCTGGTCAAACCCTGTTCAGCTAGGAGACTCAATTTTGTTTCAAGTATGATGTGATTTCTTGGATATTATGTGAATATCTGTTATGATTCAGAAATAATGCTTAGTGTCTGGCTCTGATTGTTGTTTATGCAGCTGTCTATGATTAAATAAATAACAGTCTTATGTGATGACGGTGAAGATTTGTCACATGCTCAGTTCAGCAGTGTACTTACGCACTATATGCAGCATAAAGTATTTGGAAGTTTTTATGCACAGGGTAGCAAATCTGTTTATCTCATTGGATTCAAAAGAGATGCACTGCCAAGGTTCAAAAGCAATTTGCTAGAGCTGATCATGCTTGATTTTATTTCACCATAATTGATCTTGTAGAATTAAAATATTATGATATTAAAATGGGATGTGTGTGTGTGTGTGTGAACCTTTTAGAAGTTATATAATGTACAGGTTAACAACAAAAAAGTTAGCCTAAGTGTACTGAGAAGCAACAATTGACAGTCACTTCATATAATATATAATGTGTCTATGTGAGAGGTGTATCTGTATATGAAATTTTTTGAAAAGTGAAGGGATTTTAATGTGCTATTGATTGAAACCAACTTTGTTACCTGAGTGGTGCACACTCAGAAGAACATGGCTACAGATACAGTTGTAAAAAAAAATCCCATGTTGACATAATATATGATACTGTAATGTTCTATTTTTTCCTATGCAAAGTAAACCTGTTTTGAATTTGAGAAGATTCATTTGTTTATCTCTCCATCTCTTAGTGTACTACTAGGACAAGATGGCATTTGAATCTGACACTGATGTTCTTCTCTACAAAAACGCTGAGTTCCAAAGAATATTGTACCTTGGAGATGTATATTGTTACACCAGACTACTGGCAGAGGCCCCGCAATAGACCTGCAAAGGAGAATCAGTGCTTGTACCTAAAAACTGATATTTTTCTAAAGCAATGACACCTTTTAGTAGTGTTTTTTACAGGAAGGTTTTGTGTCTGTTCTCTTACCATGGATATTTTAGAATCAATCGAATTGAAGATACTCTTCTAAATCCCTGGCACAGACTTCTGAGAAATTCCTCTTATTATAAAGCCAATTTGGTCTCAGCTGTTGATGTGGTCAAGTATTGGCAAGGCGTGTTTGAGGCAAACAATATCCCAGAAGCGCAGACATCCTCTGAATATATTGTTTCTCATGTCCTGGGATCAAAAACAGTTAAGTGCAATGGGTGAAAGTAGAGCTATGGTACAAGATTTATAAAGCTACAGATCAATACTAAAATGCAGTGACTGAAATATATATTTTTAATATTTTTTCTGTATCTCTGCTACACTGTGATGGTTGTCCAAATATTTTCAGTCCAGAATTGGATGATCTAATATAATATGTATATGTCTGTGCCGAGCATCAAAATGGATCTCTCAGGATCAATCTTACCTGTGCTTTGGCCCATGACAAATCTCCCTATGAGATAAGCAGCACTTCTTGCAGGCAAATTGTAGCTTGCAGGCGGGCTTCCAAAGAATTTTGCTGTCAAAGTACATGGAAATGTTCGCTGTTTGCAATGGCATTATATATTTTTCTTGATTATTAAGTACAGCAGATGTATATTGTGCCTTCATTTGCCATAGAATATAATGGCTAAGCTCCTACTCCTGCTTCATAACTAGAAATTAGGTTTAATCAGCAGTTAGAAGAACATGAACACTTACCTCACTATTCCCTTTGGGGGTAAGTAATATTCAGAGTGCCGAGAAGAAAAATAAAATAGTTACACTGAAGGCATGCAGTAAGAAAAGACAACAGCTGAAGCTAATTTACACCAACATTATTCACCCCTACTTTTCTGTCTATTCACATCATTGTTTCTAGCATTTCCATGTACCGTGTTCCACATTTTTTCCTTACATTTATAGCTTTCTCAGCCAACTGCAGCGATATCATTTTTGGCATTATTAAAGTATGTATTACTTCCTTTTCTTCTACTTTAGACACTAACTTTTGGGGGGGATACTGACATTTTTAGCATTGTCACCAGCTATAAGTGCTTTGGTAAATAGAGATTTTCATAAAAAGGATTTTCTAGTAATTACATTTTCTAGCCTTAATCCTACCTGTGTCACAAGTAGCTTAGCATATATAAGTGCAATTCTTCATAAAAAGGTGTTTGGATTAAAAACTACCTTTATATCTTAAGAAACCCATGAAAATAAATGGTTACCTTATAGGGGAAGATGGGCAACATAAATATTTAACAAATAAAAATAAATAACCTGCATACAGTTTTATATAGCTAATAAATTTCATTTCACTGATGTCACTGAATGTGTTCAAGCAGAGACTGAACAACCATCTTTTAGAGATGCTTTTAATTTGAATTTCTGCACTGAGCAGGAATTTGGATATGATGGCTTAAATAATGCATTCCAACTCTGTGATTTTATCATTTCCTGCTGAATATATTTGTTAATATGGATATTTAGAATTAATTATATTGCTTTGTCTCAGTATGGTATGCTAAATAATAAATTTAAGTTGCAAGAAGGTAGATACTGATTTAGATTTTTGGGGAAAATTTGTAAAATATGACCAAAAATATTTCATTTGGAAGAGGATTGATGAAAGACAGAAATTGAATTAGGAAACACAGAAGAGTAAAATAATTAAGGTACTTACCCATTTTTCTTACTCTTTATGGTCAAAATACCATCAGTGTTTATAATTAATTTAATGAAAGTTAGCCTTTATGAGTTATTCTGCTTAAAGGAAATGATAGAGCAATTTGTTAGTGGGGCCATTTATGCCAACACTGAATTTCCCTTCATTGGATGCTGGAGAGGCATCTGTCAAATACACTTTTAATTTAGATTTCTGTATTGAACAGTCAGTTAGACTTGAGCATTGGCAGGCTTGTACAGTAGATGAGAAATTTTATCCTCTGTCAGCCTTCACGTTGTCAGCTTTGAACCTCTTTTTTGCCAGTGTTTACTTAAAAGGAAACAGTATGACCTTGAAAGGAATTTACAGTACTGAAATTGTTGCTATTCTCCTTTGTTGATGTTAGTTTATCCTTCACCACCATCACCCCAAAGGAAAGAAACAATCTGGGCTAAGGTGAGGTTTATGTAATGGTGGCTGAATTCCTTCTTCAAGGCCACCTCCATAATTTCTCTATGGGGAGGAGACACATCAACATATGTTAAAAGTCCAGTGTTTCTGGATGACATCATACCATGGTGACATGTTAGAATGGCATACAACATATTGAATTAGATGAATTTAGTGTTTCCATAGGTTTTTTTAAATAACGGCCATATATCTATGGTGAATAGAAGACTGTTGTACAAAGAATGTGTAACGTAGTTTAAAATAAAATATTTATTATTCAGTTCCAGAATCTGAATGCCAGCAGCATTTCTGCTCCCCTTTCAGCAAAGCAACAGAAAGAGATCCAACAGCTCTGTGCTAAACGACTACAACGGTAAGCACTCTGGTCTTTCTTTTTTTCCTCTGGGAGTTCTTGGTAAACATGGAGCAAGTAGAAAATAAAGCAGCCAAATTGCAACATTGGCTAATTTGAAGCCTTCGCTGAGGCCTGTGTCCTGAAATAATGGGAGAGAAGAGATAACAAGATATGTATATAAATCTTTTTAAGAGGGACAGTTTCAAGATAACCCAGAAAAGAGATTTTTCCCCCTACACTTGAAGCAATAAAAGAGAGTTCAACAATGCAGGTATTAACTATCCCCACTGCCTTTATGGCAAAATTATAGATTTGCATTTACCATTTAATTAATTTGTGAGTAAATCTGTTCGGAATCTATGAAGCTTTACTAAGAAGTGCACCAGCAAAGAGATGTTAGAGCTAGCAGACCTAGTAATATTTACTACTATGTTTTCCCCAAAATAAGGCCTATCCCAAAAATAAGCCCTAGCTTGATTTTTACACGAGCGCCTGATATAAGCCCTACCTACCCACCCCCCAAATAAGTCCTAGTTAAGACCCTGCCCACTCTGCAGTGCATGGATAAAAATTAAGCTAGGGTGGGGATGGAGGGGTGGAACTTCCCTACTACTTACCTTCAAACAGTTGCAGCCAGGCCTCACACACTCTGACACCTGTCTTGCCTTGCCATCCCACTTCTTCTGCAGCCACTTGCTGCTGCTTGCATGCATCACCCCTGGCCTCAGTTTCGCTGTCAGAAGTTTTCAGGAAAGGCCTCTGCAGCCAATAACGGATCCAGAGCACAAGCAGCAACAAGTGGCTGCAGAAGGGGTGGCAGCGGGTTCCTATTGGGCAGGGCGGCCATTGCCACCACTGCAAGGTGAGTTAGTGGAAGACATCCCCCCAAAATGAGACCTGGTGCCTTTTTTGGTGGCAAAAAAAAAATAAGACCAGGTCTTATTTTCGGGGAAACATGATAGCTTAAACTATCATGAAGGTTTCCCTCGTCCAATCGTGTTCAACTGTAGGGGGTAGTGCTCATCTCTGTTTCTTAGCCAAGGGAACCAGCATTGTCCACAGACATCTCTGTAATCATCTGGTCAGCATGAATATACCCTGAGGTGCACAGAACACTGTTACCTTTCCATCAACATGGTCCCTGTTTATCTACTCACATTTGTATTATTTCGAATGGCTAGATGGGCAGAAGCAGGGGCAAATAACAGGAGTCACTCCGTTGCATGGTGGATCTTAAGATCTTAAACATCTTAGATCTTAAACTCTGTCAGCTTTCCAACTGACAAACTCAATGACTTTAACTGCTGAGCCATCATATCCCTCCTAAATTATCATACAACCATTTAAATAAAGGAGTTATTTTGAGCAAAGCAGGAATCAGATAAGACTTCACCGATTCTAAACAAAAATATTTACTGGGAGGGTAATTGACTCATTATTACTTTTGGTTTCTTACAAGTTGAAATGAGCACTATTTCTATTTAAAAGTATCAAGCAGCTGCACTTTCTACATATCTGAGTTACAATTAATTTTAGCAATTTTTTCATTGAAATGGACTACTTTTAAGAAAAGTTGAACTTGATTGAAATTGATAGTTTCAGTAGTTTGAATTTATTTGCTCACTTTCTGTCTGATTATAAATTAACAATAGTTTAAAGTTCATTTTCTTTTTGGAACGAATAAGTTGAACATGGTGTGAAGTGAGGGTTAGCATGTTCTGTGCGTGTTGGTGGTACACACTTGGTATTCTCCTGAAGAATCAAATGAATGGTTTTTGAGTGTTCCTGATCCATTTGGGTTACTGGAGTCAGAAGTGGCCTCTGTGACATCATTCAATGTACTCAGCTTAGATTCATTTATCAGCTACAAATTTATTTGGACAGTAATGTTCTTTTGGAAATCCCCCCCCCCACACACACTTTGATTAGTGTTTTATGTGTGACTAACCTCTATAGATCCAAAGCAGAACTGCTGGGTTATTAACTCAGAATAGCCTGTGTCAGAGGTAGTATTTAGCAGGTTCTGACCAGTTCTGGAGAATCGGTGGTGGAAATTTTGAGTAGTTCGGAGAACCGGCAAACACCATCTCTGATGGGAGATTTTACAGTATCCTTCCCTTGCCACACCCACCAAGCCATGCCCATAGAACTGGTAGTAAAAGATTTGAATCCCACCACTGGCCTGTATGTTTATTATTGACATTTCAAGAGTTCTCTACAGTTTCCAGTTTGTGGGATCCTTGGTATACCCTGGGGTTGGTTGTTTTCTTTCAGGTTTCATTAGTTTTTACTGAACTAAGTGGTGGGTAATTTGGAGCTAGAAAGGAATAGGAATTGATAACCTTTTTGCTGAATACTGGCATTTACTTTCAGTTTTCAGCAAAACTGGCCCATAGCCTACTTAACAGTAGTTCGCTTAATGACCTGCACAAAAGGTCATTAAATTGAGTGGTCTGTTTTATTACTGTCACAGCTTACAACATAATGGGCAGCATCTGTATTAAAAAAAGTAAAACTTATAGACAGAAAAAGAAAATAGGGGGGGGGAGGGGATAAATATCTGAAAACAGAAGAAAAAGTAATTCCAGCTATGACAGAATTACTTAGTTGATTTCACCCAATGCAAAAGCTTAAGGGATGCCTGCAATCAAAATTTATGTATACATCTTTATGTATAGCTATATAAAAGTATGTATATATGAGATTCACATAAAATAGAGCACTTTAAATGAAACATAACAATCAGAAAAGTATTTGTCATGTAGTAACATGCACAAGCTAGTTACTAAAGTCCTATTTCTACAGTAAAAGAACGTACAGCATCTGGTTATTAGTGTAATCGTACTTTGAAATAAGTTACAATATTATGCTTATGAAGCTTTCAGGATCTATTGTACTCCTCTGTTTGATCAGAAGCAGAACTCTGCTAAGAGTAGTCTTAGGTTTTGGGAAGCTTGAATGCTAAACTAGTCTCTAAAAGTGGACTAAAACCATGTTGAAGGAGGTCATAATTGAACAATTGGCAGAGAAATGGATAAGCTCTTGTGGAAAATGGGTGATAATATTTTTGCTTCAGAAGTAAAAGCTTCTTAATGACATCAAGGTACATTTAGAAATTATGTATGATAAAATGGTCTCTGGTAGTACTGAATGTTCTTCCTTCTCATTTCATTCATGGAGGAGAGGACTGCCAGTTCAGTTCAATTTTTAGCAAATGATGTGAAAATAAATGTGATAACAACATCTTGTACAACGTTGGCCAAAAATTACCACACAATTCATCTTCTATTCCAGGATGCCAGTACAGTATGTTCTTGGTGAATGGGATTTCCAAGATCTGACACTCAAGATGAAGCCTCCAGTTTTCATTCCTCGGCCAGAGACAGAGGCAAGTTATTAGAAAGGAAAAACTGCAGCTGTTTTCTACATGCATATAAGTGCCTGCAACCTTTTGTTTTGAAGGAAGCCAGCTCCAGGGAACCTAATTAGGAACAGGAGGTTCTTCTTTTTAAAAAAAATAAAGTTTTATTCAGTTTTAACAAAACAAATAAAACATCTTATTTGAGTACAGCATGATTCTGGGTTATCACATTTCCATACAGACACAATTTCATATGCATATTCATCTTATGTATTCAACTTCATATCTTAATTACTCTTTATCCAGCTTCTCACTATTTCTCCCTTTACTTCTCTTAATTTTCTTTTATGGTTATCTCATTTTCTTCTTATTTAATTGTATTTCTTTTACCGAAATTTCTATATCTTTTTATTAATTATACTTATACTTTCGTCTGTCTTGTTTACAATATCATTATGTTCTCTTCCAACATTCTTAAAAAGCAAAATTCCCTCTATGATTGCCAATCGGAGTGCAACACCTTTAAGTCTTATTGTCATTATCATATAAAATTTCATTAAACATTAAATATATGCATTCTGACATTATAACATTCAAATTTCTAATATCTATTTTATATTATGTAAATCTCATCTTGGTACTTCCCCTTAAAAATGTAAAAAGAAAAATTCTAAAAACAGCAAAAACAATATATATATACATATACATACATACATACATACATACATACATACATATAGGTTTTCTTAAGTTTTTGCGGGTACTTACATGTATGGCATTCAGCTTTGTTCGGGTATTTTCCCACATCATAGTAGTTGTGCTTTTAAAGTTGTAGCAAGTTGTAGCAGTGGTTACAACCACTGTAAAAGTCTGACTCACAGATGAACACTATACAGAAGCCTGATGATGGCAGATGAGATTCTGCCGAAATGTTGCTACAACTTTAAAAGCACAACTACAACGACGTGGGAAAATACCCGAACAAAGCTGAATGCCATATATATATATATAAAAACATTAGTGAGCAAAGTAGTTATTCAATTTCATTCTGGTATGAGCCTTGTAAATCTTTCACGTTTCTTTTCAATATTTATCAATCTTTGAGAACAGTTGAAATATTTCCCTCCCTTCTTCATTATTACTTAACTTTTAATAAGCATACCTTTGGATAATCATACAGTTGTATCTTATAAGTTATTTACTATTAATAAGCAAAATAATTATTCAAATTCATTCTAGTAACTGGTATAAATTTCTTTATAAATCTTTCACATTTCTTTTCAATATTTTATCAATCTTTAGAAACAATTACAATGTTTCCCTCTCTTCTTTATTATTGCATTAATTATAAATAAACATACCATTACAGAACAATACAGTTTTATCTCATAGATTATTTACTTATTTCATTTCTAACTCATTACCGTATTCTACTGTCACAACACTACCTTTTGTACCTTTGCAGAATCCTCACTTTTAACTTAATTTAGCCATTGTCTCTGTGTTTTCTAGCTGAGCAAATACCTTTAATCCTAGTACGTTTCCCCTTTTTCTTTATTTCCTGCTTTTGTCCCTCATGAGTTCTTTCCCTTTCTATCTTTCTCCTCTTTTTCTCATCCCTTTTTTATACCCTTCTCTCTATAATTTTCCCTTCTGTGGTTTTCTTTTCTGCTTCTCCTTGCTGTTATAGTTCCTTTTCAGACTATTTTTCTTTTTGGCTGTTCCCTTTAATCACAAACTTTTAACTCCTTTCCCCCTTTTTCCCCTTATTACCACACTTTGCATTATTTGATCATTGAAAATGGCTTCTTCTTTGTCCCGCCCTTCTTCTTGCTCTTGAAGCTTTTCCTTTTGCTTTTCAGAGTTCAGGATCTCCATTTCAAGAAATTCAAATACGAAGCCAAAGGATCTTCCTCCCCTTTCTTCATCTTCTTTCTGTTTTTTAAGACTCATCTTCAATTCCTCCAGGAGTGATGCCATTTTAAACACTTTTGAACAACCACCCAATTGACTTTAAGTAAAAACAGAAAAAGAAAGAAAAAACCAATGCCAAATGATCCCAGACTGTTCCTTCTTGTTTCTTTCCTTTCCTTTTCCTTTCCATGGGTTACTGTATCTTTTAATAAGGTTTCAGTTACAATGTATCCTTGGGAGTATTTTCAAAGTTTCGCTGTTAATCTTCTTTTTTCCAGGTTGCACTCCATGTTTCCATTATTCCAAGTTCCACCCTTTTTCCTCCACTCTTCTTTTTAGGGCTTTAAAATGACCAAGGAAAAAATCTTTATTTTCCTTTTGACAATTAAATTTCAGCTTAAAGTTGCCTATTAGCGTCAAAGTAAATTAATACAGATTTCTTTCCATATCATTTGTAATTGTCAATATAAAGGTTTAAAAAGGGGGTTTTAACCTCTTTTTCTCTCTCCTTTGCCGCTTAAAAGTCTTCTTTCAGAAGTATCCCTCTAAGTACTTTTAGATTCAGCATACCTTGCTTAGATGTTCTCTGTTGTTTAGCCCGGTCTGTCCTGCTTTCCTCTTTGTCTTCCTCCTGCACAACCTTATCCAGTCGGGTTCTTCTTTGAGGTGGCCATTTCTGACCACCACTGCAACCGCCTTCAGGAAAGGGAGTTTAGACCAGCCAAGGAGGAGAGATGCGGCTCCCCTCTACTCAGCTAGCAATCTCCCCCCTCTTCACCACCTCTACGGGATGGCTTCAGCCCCAAATCCAAAGGATCGGGGAGCTCCAGTGGTGAGCATAGATCGAAACCATGCATGATCACAGATTTCAGTCTGTCGCTGAAGAAACCCAAACCAGAAGAGCCGGAACAGGAGGTTCTTCTTGACTCTGCCTTCTCATAAGCATAGGAATTTTACATTTGTATGTCAGTCCCATTGTCTGATGACTTGAAAGAAACTTCAGAATAAGTTTAATTGCCATTTTCTTATCTCCCATGATGCAATTTCTTTCTCTTGAATATTTTACTTTTTTCACAAACCTGTTGTCTAGATTGTGGATGTTTACCAAAAAGCAACAACTAAAAGTTTCCCGTTCCTGAAGGTTTCTAGGTTAGAAAATTACAGTTTAACCATTGGGCAAAGACAATTTCTGCCTTGCTATGGAAGATGATGCTGAATTATTTTGTGATCCCTTATAGATCCCAGATTCTAACACAAGATCTAAACCTCACTACATCCCTTAATAATCTGGATGCCAGATCTTCGTTTGCAAAAGGAGCTTAAAAGTAATAGCCTAACCCCAAACTGGCAATCATAATGTTTCTTTCTATGCCAGGCTCTCATTGTTGCAGAGCTACAACCTGCCCACCCAGTTTTTTAAACAAGTATGCTTTATTTTTATTTATTTTATATTTATTTGTTAATTGCTTACAAGATAATAGATATAAGTAAAAACATAGTTATGAATACATGGATACATATAAGAAATTTTTTTAAAAAAATAAAAGAAACAATAGGACAGGGACGATAGGCACATTGGTGCGCTTATGCAAGCCCCCTGCAGACCTCTTAGGAAAGGGGTGAGGTCAATAGTAGGCAGTCTAAGGTTAAAGTTTTTGGGGTTTGGGGAAGAAACCACAGACTCAGGTAGAGTATTCCAGACATTGACCACTCTGTTGCTGAAGTCGTATTTCCTACAATCAAGTTTGGTGCAGTTAAGCTTGAGTTTGTATCTATTGTCTGCTGTAGTGTTGTTATGGTTGAAACTGAAGTATTCTTTGACAGGTAGGACATTGCAATGTATGATTTTATATACTATACTTAGATCGGACCGAAGGCGGCATAGTTCTAGGTTTTCTAGGTCTAGAATTTCGAGTGGTGGCATAAGGTATTTTGTAATGAATAGAGGAGTGGAGAACTCTTCTTGTGAAATATTTCTGGACTTTCTCAACTGTGTTAATATCAGATACATAATACGGGTTCCAGACTGATGTATTGGTCTAGCAAATGTTTTGTATGCTCTAGTTATTAGTGTAATATTACCAGAGAAAAAGCTATGTAAGATTAGGTTAACAACTCTTAATGCCTTTTTGGCTGTGTAGTTACAGTGGGCACTTAGGTCATTTCAGATGAGTACTCCAAGATCTTTGACAGAGTTTGTGATGCAAGCAGTCATAGGGAAAACAATAGTCTCACTATTTTGAAATCTACCTAGGCCAGCCTGGTTTGTAGTTAAGTACACCATCATGTTCTATCTTTGTCTTTGCCAACAAATCAAATACTGCATGGGGCTAATTTCAAAACAAAACACAGCAATTGGCTTCTTTTTTCATGCCTTAATTTTAGCTGATCCTCTATCCTTCTCTGTCTCTTTGCTCAAATTCCTGAATGGCCCTGAACTGAATGTGTGGGGTTTGGCAGTTTGTTATCAGTTAGTTACACTGTACTGGTTTTTGAATGATCTTCTTACCAATTAAATGTACATTTAATGTAATGGGTAACAGAGACTGACAGTCTGAAGAACAGAACGTTAGAACCAGACATTTCTTCATTTATCTTCCTGGAATACTACAGCTACTTTAACACTTGAAATTCTCTAAATAAGTCCTATTTTAACATTCTTTTTAAAAATGCTTCCATATTACTGGCTCAGTTTATTTGTGTAGAGCAGGGGTGTCAAACTCAAGGCCCGGGGGCCGGGGCTAGGGCCAGCCCATGGGGTGTTTAGATCTGGCGCGCCAGGCTGCCCTGGAAATATTGAAGGACTGTTCTGTGGTGCCTCTGCCATTGAAAATGGAGCTCAGGAGGGCTGCGTACTGCCGTCCCAAGCTCCATTTTCACTGGCAGTGCACTCGGGCTACCACAGGGGCCCCCAACACAATGCTGGCCAGGCCCACCCTGGCCACACTCACCCCAGCCCCCACTAGGTCAAACACAACCCTGATACGATCCTCAAGAAAATTGAGTTTGACATCCCTGATGTAGAGAAAAACAATTATCTGTGGAGTCCTTGGTTTTCTCTGAGCTTGATTGTTTGCTTGCAGACATTTCATTACCTAATGATTAAATAAAATCATCAGTCTTGATGAGTGTGGGTTTGCTTCCTGTTTATATACTTGCCCTGCCAGTGTTGGCAGAAGTGGGGTTTTCTCCCAGAGAGTACCCTGATCACGGCATTGTTTTCTCTTGATTGATTGTCTGATGTTAATCCCTACCTATCTGGGTGTAGGCTCTGGAGAGGATTGTTCTGATCTTTTTGCTTCATTCTTTTTAATTGTCTCTTTTGAATAGACTTTAAAAGTAGTTTTATCTCTATGTATCTATTGAAAGCTGCTTTGTTTGAATGCCACACTTCCAGAAATTCCCTAGCATTTTTAGATCTAGTTTGGTCTAGGATGCTCACAGTTTCCCTGTTCAAATTATGGGTGAGTCTATCTGCATTGTGAAAGTAAGCAGTTTTCATTGTGTCTTCTAACTGCTACGTGGTGTTCATGGATGCACTCTTTAGTCTTCTTCCCAGTTGTACTACATTGTGGCTAATACAGTCACACTGTATATTGTAATGGCTTTTGGTTTTTTCCCCGTTTTGGGCTACTGGGGCTTCTGGTTTAAGTTGTTTTGGAGGGCTTTAGTTACTTTATTTACCCCAGAGATGCTGTGAAGTTGTAATAGTCTGTTAGTTGTTTCTAAAACGTTTTTGATGTATGGTACTGTACTATTTTTCACAGCTTATATTTTGCTCGTGCTATAGTGGGTTGAGGGGTCAGGTACTTATTGATAAAGTTGTGTGGTATCCATTTTGTTGGGAAATATTGTATAGCAGAGATCCCCAACCCCCAGGCTGTGTCCCACTGTCAGGCTGTGGCCTATTTGCAACTGGGCTATGGGCCGGCACACATACGTGCGCAGTTCAACTCATGTGAGCAGCGGGCTAGTGCCCGCATGCACACCAGCCCACCAGTCACACATCCTGGTTTTCTTCTTCCTCCCCCCCAGCTGGACCGCCAAGCCGGAAAGGTTGGGAACCACTGTTGCATAGGCAGTCTGTTTACTTTTTTCTGCTGTTCTGTGTTTGCTGCAGTGCATTTGTCTGAATAATGTTCTTGCACAGCTCCTCTTGTGAAAGTTTGGGTTATTATTTTTCAATAGACGTGCATTTCTCAGTTGCTATTGTTTATTTTTCTCTATGAGAATATTCAGGAAGAGTAGTATGTTATATTTTCTTCTCCCATTGTGAACTTTATTCCTCTGAAGATATTGTTGATTCTTCCATGTGCCTTCACTAGTTCTCCCTTTTTTATTATGACATATCTACTTTCCAGATCTTTTTAGTAGAGGCTGTATAATGGGTTTTGCTGTGAGGCCTCTGATTTGTTGGTCATATTTGTCCATCAAACTGGAAGTAGGTACTGAGGCAGAAGTTGATGAGGTCTGTGGTTCTGGGTATTTCTATCTTGGGTTTAGTGTATTTAACTAGGTATGGGTATATTGATAATCATCATCATCTTAGTCAAAAAGAATAGAGAAAAACTGAATGCCCAAGCAGCTTGTAGCAAGAGCTACATGACTGTGGGTCTTCCAAGAATCACCAAAACAGTATTTATATAAATCTTGTTGCACAAGCTGAGTGGCTGACCAGTCTTTTAATCACTCAAAGTTCATAGGCTGTACAAGGTCACTTTGCTTAGTTCAAAACAACGGGATTTTTCTTGTGGGTCTTTTTCCAGGAATGTCATTTAAGTGGTAGATGATGAAAGAAACTGCAGCTACAAAATGCTTCTCTTTTTCTGTTTACCAGAAGAACATAAATCCAATTTTCTACTCTCTAATCGGCTGGCTGTAACATTTTTTACACTTGAGAATATTGAAAAAACTTATGAAATTTACAATAAATCTATCCATTTGCTTGATGAAATTTGCAGTGAGTCTTAAAATAAAAAGGGTTAATAATGTGCTGCTTATGTGCATGGAGGATTTTCCTCATTTATCCCAGTGCAGATTGAAAAGAAAAGAAAGGTTTTTCCTCAGATAAGGAAAGAACAGTAACCCAATAAAGTTTCCTTTGGGCTTTCTAAAGGACTAAACATGGTATTGTAGTCCAGTGCTGTGAGTATTTATTGTAAGATTAGCCATTTCCTAGGGATTCATATCTTCACAAAGACGAGAGTGTCAGCCTATTCTCCAAAACATCTGAAGGGAGGACAGGAAGCAACGGTTGAAAACCAATCAAGGAGAGAACCAACCTAGAACTGAGAAGAAATTTCCTGACAGTGAGAACAATTAATCAGTGGAACAACAGTGTTGGATGCTCCAACACTGGACATTTTTAAGAAGAGTTTGGGCAACCATTTGAATGAATAGGATCTCCTGCTTGAGCAGAAGTTTGGATTAGAAGACTTCCAAAGTCCCTCCCAATTCTGTCCTTCCATTGTTATGCTATTAAAGTTTTCCAAAATGACTGCCCTTCTCCTTTGCTAGACTTGGAGCCCCATTCCTTTGTTGTTAGAAAGGGAGTGTTGCCCACACCACTGCTTCCCTAATGCTTCCTGGATTCAGCTGGTAATTTTTATGGGCCATGTAGTGAAGGTGTAGCTCCTTTAAGGAATTCTCGACAGCTATAGCACGGGTGCCCACAACAGGTCCAAGAAGTATTTGCCTGCATTGGTTCCAAATAGTGAATCATATTAGTATAAACTACATTGCTCAAAAAAAATAAACGGAACACAAAAAGAAGACATCCTAGATCTGAATGAATGAAATATTCTTACTTTGTTCATTACATAGTTGAATGTGCTGACAACAAAATCATACAAAAATTATCAATGGAAATCAAATTTAGCAACCCATGGAGGTCTAGATTTGGAGTTACACTCAAAATTAAAGTGGAAAAAAACACTACAGGCTGATCCAACTTTGATGTAATGTCCTTAAAACAAGTCAAAATGAGGCTCAGTAGTGTGTGTGGCCTCCACGTGCCTGTATGACCTCCCTACAACACCTGGGCATGCTCCTGATGAGGTGGCAGATGGTCTCCTGAGGGATCTCCTCCCACACCTGGACTAAAGAATCCCCCAACTCCTGGACAGTCTGTGGTGCAACATGGCATTGGTGGATGGAGCAAGACATGATGTCCCAGATGTGCTCAATTGGATTCAGGTCTGGGGAACAGGAGGTCCAGTCCATAGCATCAATGCCTTTGTCTTGCAGGAACTGCTGACACTCCAGTCACATGAGGTCTAGCATTGTCGTGCATTAGGAGGAACCCAGGGCCAACTGCACCAGCATATGGTCTCACAAGGGGTCTGAGGATCTCATCTCGGTATCTGATGGCAGTCAGACTACCTCTGGCGAGCACATGGAGGGCTGTGCGGCCCCCTAAAGAAATGCCACCCCACACCATTACTGAGCCACTGCCAAACCGGTCATTCTGGAGGATGTTGCAGGCAGCAGAACATTCTCCACGGCATCTCCAGACCCTGCCACATCTGTCACATGTGCTCAGTGTGAACCTGCTTTCATCTGTGAAGAACACAGGGTGCTAGTGGCGAATTTGCCAATCTTGGTGTTCTCTGGCAAATGCCAAATGTCCTGCACGGTGTTGGGCTCTAAGCACAACCCCCACCTGTGGACATCAGGCCCTCATACCATCCTCATGGAGTCTATTTCTGACCGCTTGAGCAGCCACACGCACATTTGTGGCCCGCTGGAGGTCATTTTGCAGGGCTCTGGCAGTGCTCCTCCTGTCCCTCCTTGCACAAAGGTGGAGGTAGAAGTCCTGATGCTGGGTTGTTGCTCTCCTATGGCCTCCTCCATGTCTCCTGATGTACTGGCCTGTCTCCTGGTAGCGCCTCCATGTTCTGGACACCACGCTGACAGACACAGCAAACTTTCTTGCCACAGCTCGCATTGATGTGCCATCCTGGATCAGCTGTACTACCTGAGCCACTTGTGTGGGTTGTAGACTCCATCTCATGCTACCACTAGAGTGAAAGCACCGCCAGCATTCAAAGTGACCAAACCATCAGCCAGAAAGCATAGGAACTGAGAAGTGGTCTGTGGTCACCACCTGCAGAACCACTCCTTTATTGGGGATGTCTTGCTAATTGCCTATGCTTTCCACCTGTTGTCTATTCCATTTGCACAACAGCATGTGAAATTGATTGTCAATCAGTGTTGCTACCTAAGTGGACAGTTTGATTTCACAGAAGTGTGATTGACCTGGAGTTACATTGTGTTGTTTAAGTGTTCCATTTATTTTTTTGAGCAGTGTGTGTTTCCTTTTTTGGGTAGATGTAATTCCCTTAATTTATATAGCTTACTGTTTTTTTTACTACTTATAATATAACATTGCTTTTCCTGAAAAAGAATCAAGTGATGGGCTACATAGAAAAGGGGGCTTTTTCCTATTAGTGCTTATTTCTGTAAAAAAAAACAAAAAAAAAGGTCTGGCCACCAGGAGGCAGATTGGTTTTAAATTCAGAGAACAGTTATTTTATTGAGTTGACTTCTAGGAATTATTGCTCTGCTGTTTTAATGAGCTTCCTGGTGTAAGTTTCTTCTTCCCTATTGACGCTTCGCTTTTTAGAGAAAAGGAAAGTAAGTTTGGTCAAAGTTTGTATTTATTTTACAACCTACTTCTTCTAGGAAACATTTGTTCCTGTTCTTTGTTCTGAGAAATGCAACAGTATGCCTCTTTTTTTTTTACAAAAAGGACTATAGCTTTTCCAACAACAAATGACCAAAATAAGTAGTTTGCCAAATATGATAGGTGAATTTTGTGTGGTTACAGTGGTAACTTTTTTGACAGGCTCTGGCTGATACAAAGCAGGTTTCCTTGAAACAGCTTGGAGCAGGTCTTTTTCAGATCTTTAGGGTTTCAGAAGACACAAAACAGAGCTAATCTTAGATTCTTTGTAAATATGGTTACAAACCCAGTCTAAATTCTGCATGAAAGAAACATTACAGGCAGAAAAATTGGAGAGGACAGGATGGCTGGACATGCCTAGAATTAAAACCTCTGGCCTTCTTCATGTAGAACACCCCAAGCAGTGATTTCTATGATATATGTCTTACTTGGTTGTTTTCTGTGACATTGTAATTACCCTTGTCTCCGCATATTTTGTGGATCCCTTATCATTCGATGGTGAAAATAGTTAAAACACTTGAATTCATTCTTTCTTCTTTCAGATATCTGCTCTATCTGTGTACTTGGATTCTATAATATAAAATGTATGGAACTGTTTGGTTCCTCAGTTCATGGCTAAACCATTTTACTTGATAAGGAGAGGAGGAAAACAAACAGCCACATTTTCTAGTACATTGGCTCCTTCGGGCTGTGTCCTATCTGCATTGCAGTTTCTGTTTACTGCAATGCACTTCTGATATTACAGGTTTTCTGAAAAACATTGGATAGCTGTTGGACTATTTTCGTAAAAACATGTCTTTGAATCTTAGCAAAAATGCCTTTTTTTTTCCAGAAAAAAAGTGATCTTTTTCTCCAAAATATCCAGCTTTTAATTTTGTAAATTCTTAATTATTGACATAAAGAAAAAAAGTAACATATTGTGCTATTCCTAAGAAAAAAATATTTAATATCTTAGGCATTTTTCAATGGGAAAGTTATTCTGATCCTTTAAAAACTCGACTAAAATCAATAAAACCCAACAGCAGATCAAAATTTGCTCAGAGCAATAGAAAAGGAGAGGTGATTATAATTATACAAGAAATGGTCTTTTTTACTTTTAGTACTTTATTTTAGTTTTCACAATAGTAATTGGAGAATAGTGGAAAATACAAATACAATGATACATGTACGGGATTCAGTTTCATTGATGATTTAATTTAAAAAAAAGTATTTCACTGCTTACAAACTGCTTAGAGTTAATTAGAAAAAAGTTCCCAATGGTTTCCTAGATTGTTCCAGAAGCATCTCTTAGCCTGCCAGACTTTTGCCAATCTTTCATCTTGAAATCTGAGTGGTGTGCATTTATTAACATCTGTCTCCTTATTGGAACTCTAGGATTTACGTATAAGAGACAATGCTGGGTTGCAAATAAGTCTTCGCTTAATAACCCTATAATTGTGAATGGAGTTTTCATTGCTAACCGAAACATTGTGTGGACACACCACTTAGCAATCGCAGTTTCAGTAGTGCCAGTTGCAGCTGTTCAAGCAAGACCTCACACTTGTCCTGTCTTGCCAAGCTCACCTCGGTCTCGACTCCCACATACACACACACACACACACACCTATCCCCACCGCCTTCTCTGCCCTTTTGGCCACTCTGGGCTCCGTTGTGCCTGCACTCCGCCACCATCGCTCTAGCCACTTTGTGCTCCACTGCCTAGCCTGCCCCAACTGACCTTCGCAGACTTCTTCCTCCCACTGCTGACGAGGCACATTTTGCCTGACTCTTTGCGAGGCAGCTGCTGGCTGCACAAGACTTTGAAGCCGTGCACCGCCTTTCTGAGGCCTGGCATGGTCTACAAAAGAGCCAGGCCAGGTGCACTTCAGCAGTGGGAGGAAGAAGATGACGAAGATCGACAGGCAACAAACCAAGGGTAAAGGTGGACAGGGCGGCCGAAAGGGCAGAGTTGGGGTGGGTGGGTGAGTGATAGGCACTCCCTTAAATAAGTATAATAGGGTGTAATTCCACTCACAAGAACTCATTGGTGCCAGCTGCTTTATTTTATTACCTTTTACAAATTGTGAAATATTTCCACAGTGATCACATATTGTGTCACACAATTGCATTGACTCCCTTTGAGTAACCCGGGAGAGATGGGAAAATTTTCCTTCTAGGTTTCTGTGGCTTCTGCTGCACTGTGACCTACTTTGTATTGTTTGCTAGCTGGAAGAGGAGGAGGAGGGGTTTGTGAATGCCAGGTATATGAGTATAGAGTTTGTTTTTCAAGTCATTCGGCAGTGAATGCAAAAATAAGAAAAAACACCTGCCGTTATAAATATTCATGATAGTTCATTGTTTACAAACTACAGATGGTTGTCAAAAGTCAGAGATGGTATTCAGCAGATTCTGACCAGTTCTGGAGAACCGGTAGCGGAAATGTTGAGTAATTCAGAAAACCAGCAAATCCCACCTCTGACTGGAGATTTTACAGTATGCCTATCAAGCCACGCCCACAGAACTGGTAGTAAACAAATATGTATCCCACCACTGGTCAAAGTTAAAGAAAAGCCTTTTCCACTTTATGTTTTCAGACCTGCAAACATTTGTCCTCTTTATGGATTTTACTGGTGCACAAAGGTTAGATTCAGATTTTAAAAATATACAGAAACATTGAGAAACTGCTTTTTTTTAACTAGGACTAAGCACTTTTAATTTGTTTGTTTATTCAATTTGTATAGCCAACCATTTGAACCTAATGAACAACCATAAAACAGTTAAAATAATACAAAAATAAATTAAATACAAACAGCAGCCAAGAGATATTATACCTGTCAGTGTCCCCATAACCAGGAAACAAGCCCCTTCACACACTCAGGATCCCAGACGCAGGCTCATAATCCGATCTTCAAGGCCTTCCAAAAGAGCAACAGAGTAAGGCCCATCCTAATCTCTGGAGGGAGAATGTTGCAAAGGGCAGGCGCTATGGCCAAGAAGGCACATCTAGTCCCGCCAGCTGACATTCAATGGTTAATGGGATCCAGAACATACACATCCTGCTGGACCAGGTAGAAATAGCTGGGGGAAGGCAGACCCTCGGATAATTCTTGAAGGGCTTTACATGTGACAATCAGCTCATTAAATTGCACCCAGAAGCACCAGTGTAACCCCTGAAGTAGTGGTGCTTCATGAGCTGAACAGCTGATAGCATATATAACCCTAAAATGATTAAATTATTGAATTTGCTTCCAGAAAGTTAGCAATGATTGTCCGTTTGAAAGGCATTAAAAAGGTAAATAAGTTTATTAACAATCAAGTACTAAACAGCTAGTAGTGAAGCTGATTCTGTGTTACCTCCAGAATCAGGAGCAACAGGACCTGAACATAGTTGGAACTTCCGAATGCTCTTAAGGGAGCCCTTTTGCAATACATTGCAATAGTCCAAACAGGAAATCACAAGGGCATGAGTGACAAAAAGCAGAGCCTATTGGTCCAAGAATGGCCCGACAGATACATAACTCAAAGGAATGCAGATGTTCTCTTTCCATAGCTACCTCCTATTCTTCCAAGATCAGCTGTGAGTTCAAATTCTGTTGGAGGGAGGAAGAGATGTTTATGAAGTAAATGTGATTTTTATTAACAAAGCAGCAATCCTACAAGTCTTTATCAAAGGAAGTGTAGAGCTTCTTCTGAGTAAACCTAAACGCTGCACTACAGTATTACATAGAATTTTTTAAAATGAAATTTTGATTGTAGTGATCTTACATTTTTCTACCAGTGCCCTTACCTTTTAACACACTGTTGTTTTTTAATTCTAGTCTCTCCACCACTTCCCAACAACTTTCAACTGCCGTCTCCTTTCTGCCTTGCACAGCCATTCGGCATTGAAATGCAGAAAGGCTATCCATCTTTCCAAGCTTTGGAACCTATGTGGAATTGGTGTAATAGTTAAGGTTTGGGTATTGGTTGCGGACTGTGGATTTGATATAATTGTGAGTCACCAGAATCTATGATTGTGGCAGCATACAAATTTTAGTAAATAAATAAATAGTTGTATCTTCTAGGAACTGGTTTCTCTCATTCTGGATGAAGAACGGAGGAAAAGATTGACTTCTGCATGCAGCAAGGTCCTTCAGGATTTCCCAGAGCCCCGTGGTCCTGTTATTCTGGAAGTTGGTTGTGGCTCAGGGGCAATTGGTTTAAGTCTTCTGAAAAAACTTCCTTATGTAAGTGACATTTCATTAGATAATTTTTTTTTCCTTCCATTCAGTTGTGTCCAATTCTCAGAGGCTACCTGGACAAGTCCCTGAATTTTTCTTGGCAAGGTTTTTCAGAAGTGGTTTGCCATTGTCTCCTTCCTACAGTTGAGAGAAAATGACTAACCCAAGGTCACCTAATTGATTTTGTGCCCAAGGCAGGACTAGAATTCAGTCTCCCAGATTCTAGCCTGGTGCTTTAACCCAGGGGTCCCCAACCACCGGTCCCTGGACCGGTACCGGTCCGTGGATCATTTTTTACTGGGACACAAAACTTGGGCACCGCCATCTTGTTTCAATGGCGCTTCCAGGTTTTCGGTTGCTTCCAGGTTTTCGGTTGGAAAGTGCTTCCGGGTTTTCAGTTGGAAAGCGGCGTTTGGGTGCTCGCGCCTTAGTTTCGTCAAAGAGGGGGGGCGGCTTCGAACAAAGAGCCGTCCCGATGGCGGTGGAGTCTCACGTTACTGAGGTACCAGTCTGTGGAAGAATAAATAATCGTGAAACCGGTCCCTGGTTCAAAAATGGTTGGGGGCCACTGCCTTAATCCATACACCAAACTCTGAATCATGCTAACCTTGTCCTTTATTTCTTAGAGCAAAAATGAACAAGGAGAACAAAGATGAGCCACTTTGACTTCAACATCCAATTTCAATTCCTCTTCTTTTACTGATTAAGCTGCTTTGTGTTATCTCCAAAATCTGGAGCAATTTGGCCTGAACACCAGTTGCTGTATAGTAGGCCTCTTGGCTTATATAAAACTCATGGGCTGCCTTGATTGCTGATTGTGTAAACAGAATCCTGGATCAGTTTTATCTTAATCTGATCCAGTATGGCTCTTCTTATCTTCTTAGAAACAGATTTGTGATCATACCAGAAGGTGGTTTGTTATAGCCTGATAATGTTTAGCGTGATTTGCTTATTTAATAGGTTAGAAAGATGCATGAATCTAGAGTAATTTGGAAACCATGGATTATGGCCTAGCGTGTTGCATGTTCCCAACAATCAACATTTATTCTTTTAAGCATGGTTTACACCATTGTACAACTTTGCCAGAAAGCACATGGAAAGCTATAACCAGATAAAATTTGCTAGTTTGCATTTTAAAAGTATATCCTTCCCTGATATAGATTAATAAAAGCTCATTTCCAAAACATTGCATTTAGCATTGCTCACTTCAAACTACTTTTTCCCAAGGATATTCTACTGTGTTTGAGAAATGTTTTCATATTTGCTTTTATTATGCTTTGTCTCTTTTGTTCCTAGAGTCAGCTTATTGCCATCGATAAATTAGAAGCTGCTGTTAATCTCACCAAGGAAAATGCAGAACGGTAAAAATCTTTTATTCTTGTGTATTACAGTGAACACATTATTTGAGCCAAAACAGCATTCTCTGGGGACGAGAAGATTGTTGACAGAATGTTTGAGAAAACCCAGGTTTTGCAAAAATAACTGGAGCGTCAGACAAACACTCCATGCTGTTTTGCTCTGTTGGTGCAGTTTGTGTATTGATCAAATATCCAAAAACACACCGTGGAACTCATGAAACAATACAGAGAACAAGCATAAGTTTTACTATTCTTATAAATTTCATTTTATTATTACAATTAGACAAATTTCCAAACATTTGATACATTTGGTATTCCTGACTTGGCAGCAGTAATCTTTCATAATGGAAGAAGTTCTTCCTTGAAAGAGTTAATTGAACATTCTGATGAATGTTGCAATGAAACTATCAAGCAATTTGTTTCCATTTAAAGTTTCAAGAATATAAACTTACACATTAAAAAAAAGGATTTTGAATAAACATTGAAAGCAAGAGGCTAGAAATTTTCGCAATCTTTTGGACACATTTCAAAGAAATACATCGGGAGAAATATTGCATCATGAGCTATTTCTCAACAGTTAAAAGTTACTGAACTTACAGACAACAGATGGATTACCTTTCAGATTTCAGACAGTATAGATGCAGAGGCTTCGTTGTATAAGTACTTTGGTGACCAAGGCATCTAAAATGAGCAGTCATAAAACCAGCCTATAATTGATTTTTAAAAAATCGGGTGCAGCCACGTGATGTTTCACTTTATGACTGCTTAGCAATGCAATTGCCAATTCTTACTGAAGTCAATAAATTAGAACTACCTACACTGTTTACAGATGACACACACACACACACACACATATATATATGACAGAATGAGGGAAAGGAACAATACTCATCTGACTTGTTTTAATCTCGTTTTAAAATTAATTGGCATTAATTCTTGAAATAAGTAATTGTTTCTCAGTATCAAAATATAAATGTTCAAAAGGACCGTGGCGTTCCGATATCTTCCATAATCTACTGGGTTTTTTGGCTAACTAAGGTGATTGAACACCTCCTCGTACATGTTTCCTTCCATGCTGGTTTTTTTTTTTTTGAGTTGCTGTTCAGCTTTCTCCTGAAATGTAGTATGCAATATTCTAGATATAGTATGACCAACACGGAATAAAGAGCAATGATAACTCTACACCTATACTTCTGTTAGTGCATTCATATATATTTGAAGTAATGCAACTGTGATTGAAAGGCTGTTTTGTAATACTGATGCATAACTATGGGAATAACAGAATTGTAGGATCACATCTCTCTCTGGGAGAACATCAGTTCTGATTTACAAATATAAATAACTTTTCTGTTGCAGGCAAGCAAAATAATTTAAAACTGCCACAGAAAGAAAAGTCTGTTTATTAAAAGTCATAATAATTTAGCAAAGGACTGTTACACAGAAGATTAGAATTTGCAAAAAAATCTATGGAGAGTCTCAGTTATCCAGATCATGATTGTCCCACAGGTGCTTTTCCAGGAGGCAACAGGACTTTCTTGTTTTTTCTTTGAAGACATTTCACTTCTCATGCAGGAAGCCTCTTCAACTCTGGCTGGATGGTGGGGAATGGAAGGATTTGTATTCGTTGCAGACAGCTGGCCATTTGTATCCTTTTAGACAGTCGTTGAGGCACTTGGAGGTTTATCTGTGTCCTCAGGGATGCAAATGACCACTGTCTGCAAGGAACATAAATCCTTCCATTCCCCACCATTCAGTCAGAGCTGAAGAAACTTCTTGGATAAGAAGCAAAAGATCTTCAAAGAAAAACCAGAAAGTCTAATTGCCTCCTGAAAAAGCAGCTTTGAGACATTAGAGTTTACAGCGGAACTCATGTATATCCTATAACCTGAGTTTGATTACCAGTCCCCTTACCACAGCTCTGTCTGCTGTTATTTAGTAATCAGCTAAATTGGAACAGTAAAATGCCAAAGCAGCACAATACAGTATATGTTTTATATGTATTTGTGGCTGTAGCTGAGGAAATATCTGTCTGGAATCTGAATTCAACAATAGTGAACAGGATAATCTAATAATCTGACTTGACATAAGGCAGATATTCATATTTCTTCTTTTTTTTCCATCCAAAAACTTCAAGCATATTCAGAATTGATCTTACATGAGCCCACTGACAATAATGTTGGGCAAATGTATTTGTACCCAGAACTGTCCTCCAGAGTGGTACAAATTCTGCAGAATAAGAGTGAAGATCTCTTGCCTTGACTTGCAAATGCCTTGCCTCCCTTGCCATAAAAAAGTAGCTGTTCAGGAAAGTAGGGCTAACTAAGAACAAGCACAAACGCGGATTTTTCCACATATATTTTTGCCCCCTTCATTATAAAGTCACTGAGTTTTCTCATCTATGTAAAAATGCAACATAGTTCTAATTCCAGAAGCACCCCAGTTTCAGTGGGGTTCTTTCCACCAATAACCTCAAGCCCTTTCTAGTAGAAATTGAGCTAGAAATTCTTGTCATGCTATGTATGGGAAGCACTATGGAGCTATAACTTATTCTCTTGCACCATTCTTAACTCTTAACATTGGTAGCCAGAAACCAGTGCATTTACATTTGTTAATGATGGTGCTTTAATGGTTGTTGTTGTTTTTTTACAGTTTTAAAATATTTTATTTACAAGAAAAATTTTAAAAACAAACACAAACATACAATTATACAAAAAAATAAAATAAGAAAAAATGTGTAGTTAGAACATAATAAACATATTTCTTTCTATTGCATTTGATAGTAGATTGGATATTTCATAATAAACAATAGTAAATAGTAATTGGCCAATATTCCTTGTCACTTATAGATTTCATAATAGAAGAGAAGCTTGAGATCACTATTATTATGCATTCAATATGTACAACTATATACAATGTATTTCTTAGAATCATTTATACCTTAATTGTTAATGGATGTAAATTCTGTAATGTTTATGAGTGTTTTCCTCATTTGCTGACATCTGTAGAAGAGAGTGCAACTGTTTTCCATTCACGGGGAAACCCCAATTTTGAGGAAGGACACTTCTTGCTGCTTCACTTGTTATTAAAAAGGGCTTTCTCATGCCAGTGGAGATTATTCTTCCACTTATAGACAGAACAACTCCTCCTGTAAACAAAGCTACACACATACAAAGTCCTTTAATAAAAGCACAACAGATATCTTTCCAGGATGATATCATCAGTTTGCACTCAGTTTAATATTCATATACTGTATTGAACAATTAAATCAGACCCTGAAAGGACTTGAACAAATGTCCCCACCCTTGCTCTCAGTCTACGTCCTCTTTACTTTGAAGTGTAGGCTGGAAAGGAGCATGCCAAATGACATATTTCTTATTTTGTATACTTTGCAGTTTTCATCTCAGCATAATTAGCTTGAATTTCCCTGGCAAATAATGCATTGTGCTTTGTTTTATTACTGTTTTTAAGTTATTTTACATCATGTTTTTGCCCTGATTAGAAAAAGTTGATCATTAAGTCATTGATAATGTCAGTGGATAAAAACTGAACTATGTTAATATACTAGGTTATTTCTAGAAGAGGAGATGCCATATTTTTCTTATTTATGCTTCTACTGGTACTCGAGGTAAAAATCTAAATTTTGGATGTTACAGTTTGTCAAATTGTCTTCAGAGCTGCAAACAGCAGAATCTGATAAATAATTTCTGGTAAAAAAAATCAACATGAAACCTTAACACATTCACCTTTTTTTAATTTCTAGTTATAACTTTGCCAAACTCATTTCCCTGCAGCTGTTTCCCTGAGACCAGCATGTTAAGCCATGTTATCTTCCCATCTAAGACAATTATAGGTTTCTCCTGCTTCTTAAACTGCATGTGAAAATGTCAGCGTGTCCCTGTGGGCAAAGCAAATAAGAGTCATTTTCTGCTAATGGGATGCCACACCTAAATGTCTCAAAGGCTTGTGGTTACGGAATAAATTTTCTGTTTTGATCCTATTTTCTTAACTATGATCTGCCTTAGACTTAAGAATCTTTGATAGTCATATCTGGGCACAGCTGTGGAATTTGACATCTCTTTCTCTAAAGTTCAAGAACTCTGCCTCCACTTATAAATCTATGAAATAGTGTGGAGTTCAGAATGGTGCCCTCTGATACCCCACTTAACACTTTCCTTTAACTTGTATTGGAGCTATTGGGTGCATTCAGTAGGTACAATTGTTTCAAACCATTTCTGTATGGAAGCACAATGCAACCTACATTGTGTTATCTTCTTTACTGGAAATCTTACAGAAGACTTCTTTTTTTTTTTTTTGCTGAATGCTTTGCTGATGGCAAACCAGATTATGTCCATCACGTTTCCTTGATTATCTAAATTGGCCACTATAAAAAAAAAGATAAGGTTGTTTACAAATGATTTATCCTTAATAAGCCCACACTATTAATGACTAGCAATGCATTTCTTTTTCTACATGATTTATTTAACAGTTACATTATAATGTACTCTAGAATTTTGTATGATATCAACATCAATCTCTAGTTACTCAGGGTTTGGTTTTGTTTTTGTTTTGTATTTCTGAAAAAAAAAGAATATCATTTGACCTACTCTAATCCTTTGACACTATGGCCATTCGTGTTTTTTTTTCTACCAATTCTTTAAAGATTCTCAGTTATAATTGGTGGTGTCCTGAAGATTTCCACTCATTTGTGGTAGCCACATGCTCCTTGACTATTTTTTTACTAACCTTGCATTTCCATTTCCTGCTTTCATCATTCATTCTGTTGATGTATGTTTGAGGATATAGGTAGTCTTTGACTTAGGATCAGTCTCTTAACAACTGTTCAAAGTTACAATGAACCTTCCTAGGGCTACTTACAATCCAATTTTGAAATTCAAAAGCCAACCTCCACGCGTACGGTCGGGTGATCGCATTTTGGGCAACTGGCCTGCATTTATGGCCTTTTATACATCCCAGTCACATGACACTGATTTTTGCCAGAAACC